ATGGGAAAAGGCGCTGGGGGTGCACAGGGTGGTTTGTAGGGGCAGAAAGGACCTGGAAGTGCAGGAAGCATTAGGGAAAGCTGTTCAGCCTCTTTGGATGGACCCAGGAGCAATGGGGGCTGCTCCCACGACTGTCATGGGACGTGCCTGTGGCCAGGGAACATGGTAGCAGTGACCTTTTCAGCTGCCTTCTGCTTTGGGAAGCCTCAGCTTCTCTTAAAGCATCTGTCCCCATGAAAAGTGCTTTGGAGGGATTTAGGGCTTCAGGGGACAGCAGATTGGCAGTAAACCCTCCAACCAGCTGTGCAGAGTCAGGACCTTTTGGAAAAGGGAAATCTGGGTCATTTCCACCCACCTGGAGCCTCAAAATGTCCTCCTTCTTTGCAGCCATCTCCCAGGCTGGGGAAGCCGTGGTAACTCTGCACACCCTCGCTGCTGCTCTCTAATCAGACTCAGGGTTTGCAATTAAGCGACACAGAGTAACCCTGGGGACAGAACCTGCTGTTTGAGCCCAGCTCAGACGAGTTTGGGGAGGGAGAGACCTGATTTCCCACTTAGCAGACAGGTCACGATCGGTGGATTCATTGATCCCAGAAAGCAAAGCCTCCACTTCATTAGCGACATGCCGGTGATGAACGCGGCCTCGGGGAGCAGGGAAGCTGTGAGAATCCTTCCCTAAATGTTATCTCCACGAGGCTCAGGCCACAGATATCGGGAAGCTCCTCTGACAGGATGGCTTCCCCTGGAGGGAGCCTGCTCCATCCCACTGTGCCCATCACATGGGAGGCTCTGAGGGGCACTGGAGCTCCCTGGAAATGCTGAGGCTGAAAAAATGCATCTTTATGTCTGTGTTTGCCTCTGCCCTGTGTGCTTCTCCCCACTGAAGTGTGACAAGGGCAAGATGCCCTGGCTCAGAGCAGTGTGAGCTGTGGCTGTGCCAGGGCTGAGCACCCAGGCGAGACCCAGCTTCAGCATAAGGTTCACCTGGTGTCAGCGTGGAATTCCCAGAGCCTGGGGGGTTTGTGAGGGATGTTCACCCAGAAGTGTGGACATACAAGGCCTTGGAGAGCTGGTTCAGGTGCAGGCAGCAGGGGCATGGCAGAAAGAGGCAGCACCACGGACTGGGCTCACTGAAGCTGGGCAAGACCCTTGAGCAAAGTCCTGCTCGCTCTGCTCCTGAACCACAGCCGTGTGCATACAAAATGTTCTGACAGTAACAGCCAGATCCTGCTCTGTCCTCTGCTGCATTCCTGATTTTCCCTCCCCAGGTCAGCTTTCCCAGAGGGAGGTTTCCACACTGGCTCCTGCCAATGGTTACTGGCAATAACTTCTCAATGCCCTTCAATGCAGCTGCTCGAGGCAGCAGATGGGGATGGGGGTTGAAGCTGAGCCAGGCTGGCTGCTTTGCAAGGATAGCTAGCTCAGGATAAATAATCTGGGCTTATGCAAGTAGCTCCATCTACTCCTGAAGTTCCCATTCTCTGCTGTAAATACCTGCTGAGATACTGGTGTTACTGGGAGCAGTTTTGCCGAGGTGAGCGTTGCCCACAAGCTGGAGCAGGGCCCTGCACCATCCCCTTCCCTGAAATCACGATTCTGCATGGTAACAACACCCACAGGCAAAAAGCAAGGAAAGGACTGTAAGCTTTCCACATGGAAATTTTGAAGGTTTTCCTGGCTCTCTGCATGAGGGGAATCACACAGGGGACGTGGCTTTTAAGAAGGTTTCTGCTCCAGGGAATCACGCTGTGCTGCTGGTTCGGGGCAGGGATGTGTCATCCTGCTCCTGCAGGTGTTAGGACTTCTTTTTTTGCCAGTTCTTCCAAGAAAGCATCTCCCGTGGGCAAACCTGGCTGGCAGGACTCCCTGACGCCAACACAGGCATCCTCAGCTTTCATCAGTGACAAGCCTCCCACGCCGTGACACGTCCCCTTCGCAGGGGCAGATCTTGAGCTCCCAAGCATTTGGCTCCAGTTTCTGGCTCATGCTGGCACATGGACGAGCTGGAAGCAAAGAAAGCATCCTCTACCCAGCTTGGCTTCCAGTTTGGGAGCATCTCAGGCCTTTGGAGAATTTAGGTACGTGGAGGTGGTGTTGGTTGTTCTCTGTATCCCCGGGTATTTAAGGGAACTCAAGGAACGGGGGGGACATGGAAAGGAGGAAAGGAGCAGCTGTCTCTCTGGATTTACAGGGATCAGCAGCTGAGCAAGTCCTCAGCAAAACCAGGGTGTAACTGGGAGCAGAGTCTGCCTCACATACCATATGCTCCCAATCCACTACGCTCAATCAAGCCTAATAAAATTGATAGGGGAGCATTGAAAATCTCGTGATTAATTCTTTATGATCTGTAATAGGGGAGCTGTGTGCCAATTACTCAAGTAAATCATTCATCAGAAAATAAATAGAACTAACCTCCAGCACAAACACTAGAGGATTTCCACCAGGATTGCAGGTCTGGATTGCGGCATCATGCTGTTGGTAACTGTACATTATCTGATGGAGGACACAGCAGTAGCTGCAGTTTTGCTGCTTCTCCCCAAGGTTTCGTCTCTCTGCTCCAGCATCATTTGTTGTTCTTCACCACACATTTCAATGCTCTGTCCTTGATCTCTATGACCCATCAGCGCAGGCCCTTGCAGGTTTGCAAGGGCCAAACCTGCAGGGATCAGCTTTATTTGAGGTCATATTTGAACACGAGGGACATGACACAGGGACCTGGACAGAAAGGAATGGGCATAAGACTTGTCTTTTCTTTTCCCAGCAAGGAAACCGATCATTTGGCCTGGAAACTTTTTCCTGGTCTTGCAAGGAGAGTTGTCCCTCTGTGCTGAAGTTACCAGACTGCAGTTTCCCAATCAATGGCCCATTTCTAAGGGAAAACCACCCAACAGCACTCCCTGCCCTAGATTTCCACATGTGGGGAATTTCCCGGGTTGTGTTTGAAATTTGAAATGCTCCTGAACAAACTGCATCTTGCCAAGCCACAGTGTCCTGCTAACACACATTCAGCATCCTTTGCCATGATGCAATTCCATATTCATCGGGGGCCTCTTGGGACCATGGTGGGATTTCAAGGGGCATTGAGGGAGTTTATGCTGAGAAAAGACTTGAGAAAGCTGAAAGCAATGTCCTCTTCCTCAGCTTGGTGCTCAGAAGGGGAGAGCTGGATGAAAGGCATGCTGTGGGGAGAAGGGGAGGGATGGGCACATAAAATCCAGCCTTTGCAGAAAGCCCTCTTTGTCTCCTTCACAGCTGCAGGGATGTGTCCAATGTGGGATGAAGGCCAGCATGGAGAGGCCCCACTGCCACAAACATCTTCTTTCCCTCTTACATGGAGAAACTTCCACAGACAGGGAATTTGGCAGTGGAAAGGGCGAGGAGGCTCAAGTGTGATTTGCTGCCCCAAACACAACTGAGCTGGTGGCAGGACACCGGATTCTGCAGCATGTGCCTTCACTGGAGTGACAGGACAGACATTTCCATGACAGCCCAGCTCTGCTGACCCTAAATGAGGAGCCAAGTCAGCTGATGTTTTTTTTGTCTCTGCATCATCTCACCATCTACACCTCCTCACCACACATCACTCAGCAAGACCCATTCCTCCTCCCACTGTGCCACAACACCCGTGTCCTTTCCCAGCTGGCAGCGCTGGCATCACCAGGACACCCTCCCCTTGCAGCCGTGAGGACAGTTTGGAGATTTCTCCCCACCAATTCCTCCTGGAGAGGGACATCAGCATCTCACACATCCCAGCCACCATCGCTTCCCCACCGCATCCACATCGCCCTTCCTGCTGCTCCCAGCACCCAGCTGGTGGGACTCAGAACAAACATCCTCCCACCTGCTCCCGAGATGGCAGAGGCGATAATTACACACTTGGCACAGCAAAATTATCCAGCGCAGGGGAGAAGAGGCCGGAAGCAGCTGGAGATCATCCATGGGGAACGCTGCTCCCACCCACAGTGCCTTGGTGTGTGCCTCACCCCAAACCAGCCCAGCTCCTACTGTGAATGTGCTCCCCAGACCCTGTGTGAGCACCCCGAGTGCCGGAGGTGACGGTGCAGGTGGGGAGGTGGGGATGTGCTGGTGCTCCCAGGGGTTTGGAGCAGCAGAATTAAGGGAGGCTGGCTTCCTGTGGAGCCAAACTGGGATCCCTGGGGTGTGCTGAAGTGTATCCTCCAGAGATGCCATTCTCCTGGGGAGGACTTCGAGTGAGCCATCACTCATGCACACTTTTGGAGCCTGCCAGGACTTGAGTGCTCAGATATCCTGTCCCTTTCCTGCTCCCACGAGACCTCCAGGAGGGACATTTGCAGCTCATTCACACCAAATTCCTTTTAGAAGAAAATTTATTTCCTTGCAAAGCAGGATCTGCAAAAGCAGAGACCCTCAGGGGTCTACAGGGATGATACTACCCTATTTTCCAGACAGGTCCAGGACTGCAGCCCATGAGGTGCTTTAACTAGAAACATCCTAGAGAGGACTGAAGAGAAAAAGAATAACATAAGTAGTAATAATAACAGCAATAAAAAAAAATATATTGCACTGGCTGAAGGCAGAAGGCTGCAATGAATTGTCCTTAAAATACGTTTAGACTTGGTAGCTTTAGATTTTGCCCTTGAATGAGGAATATTGGTCAAGCAGCATTTAATTTCCTGTGCTAGGAAACCACTGCAGTTGTTTCCGAGCTCCCGGCCCTGGTGCGAGCAGTGAACTGGGACAGGGCAGGGGATGGGCAGGGATCACAGAACCATGGAATCATAGAATGGTTTCGGTTGGAAGGGATCGTACCGATCATTTCATTCCACCCCAAACCATGGGCTGGGAAACCTTGCACTAGGCTCCAAGCCCAGCCTGGCCCGGAACACTTCCAGGATGGGGCAGTCCCAGTTTCTCTGGGCAAAAGGGGACGGGGAGGAATCAGGCCAGGGGCAGGCACGGGAGCTGGCAGGGAAGGGGCCGGGGTTGGCAGGGCAGAGATGGGGGCTGGCAGCGCCCGTCTCTGCCCCCGCAGCAGCGGTGCCCACTCGCTTCCCGCTCCCTCTCCCACCGGGGCCGTCCCACTCCCAGCCGCTCCCCAGCTCCCGCCGCGGCCCCGGGGGCTCCGCGGGCAGGGTCAAAGTCCAGCCCCGGCCGTGCGGCCCGACAGCACCGCGCACCCGCGGCCTGAGGTCAGTGCTGCCCCCGGCCCGGGCCCCGCGCCCGCCGCGGCTGCAGGCCCGGCTCCTCCCGGCGGGGCGGGCCCGCGGCTCCTCCCGCCAGCGCCGCCGCGGCGCTCGGGCCGAGCCGGGCCGGGCCGGGCCGGGCCGGGCGCGGCGGGGACACCCGGCCATGGCGGGGCGGCGCGGGCCGGGCGCGGGGCGGCGGGAGGCGGCGGCGGCGGGCGGGGCCCGGCGCTTCCCGCGGGAGTGCTGCGAGGGGCTGGGCGGCCTGGACTACGGCCAGGTACCGGCGGGCCGGGCCGGGCCGGGCGCGGGCGGGAGGGGACGGCCCCGGGGAGGGCCCGGCCTGGGGCGGCGCGGGGAGCCCGGGGATGGATCCCCTGCTCCCCCATCCTACCCCGGTGTCGCCGTGGGGCTCGGCAGATCCGCTGGGAATCGCCCGCGGGTTCTGCCCGCAGGTGCAGCAGGCCCCGGGATGCTCGGTGCCCGGTGCCCCAGGTGCACGCAACGCCCTGTGCAGCCCGGTTGCACCCCAGCCGGGATGGCACGGGCTGGGCACGGGCTGAGCAGGCAGCAGGGCTGCACTGGCACTGTGCAGAGTGCCCGGGGGTGCTGCCACCGGCTCACCCGGGTGCCCCTGCAGCTCCCATTGAAGTGCCCATGCAGCTGTCACCCAGGTGTCCATTTGTCTCACTCAGGTGCGCATACACCTCTCGCCCAAGTGCCCATGCAGCTCTCATCGAGGTGCCTGTATTGCCCTCCCCCAGTGCCTGTAGAGCTCCCAGCCGTGTCCCGTTCCTGTCTCACCCGGGGGCCCACGCAGCTGTCACCTGGGGGCCCATGCATCTGTCACCTGGGTGCCCGTGCTGTTCCCACCCTTCTCCCTGCCTTCGGGGCTTTGATCAAGCGGGCACCGCTTGCCGCGGTCATTGATCCCCCACCGTGGAGGAGGGGGCAAAGTTGAATGTTCTGTGCCTGTTACGTGGCTGTCCCAGCAGCTCGCAGAGACAGCTCATCCCATTAGGGCTCCCCTTTTATCCCGAAAAGCACACGCCAGGCACAGGCCAATCTGCCTCCCGCTGGCAGCCGCGAATTTGGTTGTTGAGCAGGAGAAAAGAAGGTGAGTGCAATGTTAACGATGGTGCCTGCCAGGAGTTAGTAGGTCAAGAAGCTTTTGTTCAGCCCGTGCTAGCACTGTGCTCAGCAGCGTACAAAACGAGAGGAAAGAAGCTGTCCTGGTCCCACGGGATTGCAATTGAAGCGGGATTAGACAGTTCGGCCCCGGTGCCAGCAGCTGCTTGGGTTGTGGTTTGGCAGTTTGGAGGGACGAGGTCTGGTGGGGAAGGGCTGCTCCGGGGTGAAGGGATGGGAGGAGAAGCTGTGGAGGATGGGAATAGGGGGAGATGGGTCTGGATCAGGCCATGGGGGCTGTTCCCATTGTTCCCTGCCAGCACCTGCGTCCCCAGGGCTCGGATAAAGAAGCCTGGAGGATCTGGGGCAGTGATGGTTTGAGGGCAGCTGTGGGCCCCTGTGAGGATCCATCCCCTCCTTTCCCCAGGGCTGTGCCATCTTTGCTCCTGCACTTTGCACCTTGGGCACTCATGGCTGGGCAGAAGGCTCTTGGATGTGCCCTGGGCTAGCACAGGAGCTGTTGCCACAGCCTTTTCTCTGGGCTAGGAGAGGTGCTGGCTTTACCAGCCCTTTTCCATGGATGACACTGTGGCTCTTGTTCTTCCCAAGAGCCTTTGAGGAGCCAGTGGGAATTTCCCTCTAGATACCTTTTCGAGCTCTGCCTGTCTTCTGGCATCCAAAGGTCTTGAAAACACAGCTGTGTTGGGGAAACCAAAACCTTCCACGTCTAGATGTTGTCGTCTTGGTTTTGTTTCAAGTGAGGGCTGGGCTTGGGATGGGCTATTTTGTTTTTTGTTTTCAAAGGTTTTGACAATAAAAAAAAAAAGACACTGGCTGTTTTTCATCCAAATACCAGCACAGGAAGAGGGAGTGTGGAGGGAGAAGCAGCATGGCTTACTGCACGTAAGAACGCTGACAATGTCAGGGAGCTGTCTTGGGAAAAATCTCTCTTTTTAAAAAGGAGAGCAGCGAGTTTTAAGGGGTTTTTGTTGTTGTCATTAAGACAGGAAATACTTTTGCAGCTCCTTACGGTGCAAATGCATTCCCCCTTGCTGTGGAGGGGGTTTGCATCACTCTGACTTTATGGGAGAGGAGTTTGAAGCTGACAGAGCTCATTGCTAGGGGACTCTATGCAGACTCACATCCCTGGGACAGTCCTGTGTCCCCAGGGACGCTGGGATGCTGTGGAATGGTGCTCCCTCTCCTAAAAATCATGAGCTGGCAGCTGAGGACTGGTGCTCGTCCTCAGAGCAGCAGTGTCACCTCTGAGCCTGTGTCCTTTTGGGCAGGCTGTGAGTGTGGAGCTCCCAGAGGGCCCAGTGTCCCTGAGGTTTGGGGGGACAGCTTGGAGAATCCCCCATCCTCCTTCTGGGCTTTGCACCTTGACACAGCACTCTGCAAGCTGGAACAACAATGTTGCTTAGGGCTAATAAAAGGTTCATCTACCCTTGGGGCAGTTGGTGGGTTTGGTTTGAGGTGAAGTGTCCCTGTGGGATCCTGCACTGCAGTAACCATCCCTTCTTCCACAGGTGGATGTGGCAGCCATGGTGCAGCTCTTTGGCTACGTGGATGTGACCGACACTGGCTTCATTGTGGCTGTCCTCTCAATCGCCTTCAACCCTTTCTTCTGGAATGTGGTAAGAACTGCCTTTGTGCCAGCTGCTCTTTTACTCTCAGCCTTCCTTTGCCAGCTTCCTTTGGGAGAAAAAACCTCTTTTGAGAAGTCTGCTGGGCTGGGTGGGGGGAACTGTGCTCAATTAAACCTTAGGAGTGGGTGAGCAGGGGGCTGTGCTGCAGCTCCTGGGGCTGGGGGTGACTGTGAGGGCTGTCACAGAGGAGGTGAAGGTGGGAGCCAGCTCAGGATACAGAAGGAATTTAGAGCTGAGCTTGGGAGAGGGAGCAGAGCAATCAAACCCATCCTTCAGCCACAATGTCCCACCCAGCAGCCAGGCACTGCTCACTACTGGGACTGAGCATGAATGGCATTAATCCCCATCAGGGTGGCTGCACTGGATATGTTGCCTGCTGCTTCGCCTTGAAATATGTTGGCAGCTGTTCTTGTGGATGGCAGGAAGCAAAAACAGACAGCCAAAAGTTGGCCTGAAAAAATTCCTCCTCCATATTGCTGCACAGCCTGGCAGAGAGCTGCAGGGTTGGCAGCAAACCAGCCCTAGGAGGAGCAGGATACCTGTGCATGGGTGATGTTTGCTGTGGCTGTGGGTGCCACAGTGCTTTGGGAGCCAAGGCTGGAGAAACCTCCACTGCCTGTTAGTGCTGTGGTTTGCTGCCTCCTTGTAAAACCAGCAGGAGTCATTGCTAGCCCCGTTTGGGAGCATTCCATAGCCAATGTGCCAAGCAGGAAGCCCAGGCTGGCTGCAGGGCGAGGTGACTCCCACCCTGCAGCACCCTCAGCTGCACAGCTGAGGTGTGGGGTGAAACACCCCTGTGAGCCCTCCTGGGAATGGGATGTCAGCCCATCTCAGCCATGATTCCCAAATCCACCTGCCAAACCTCCCTGCAGGGATTCTCTCCCTGGAGAATTCTCCTTAAAAAGGGCTTATTTTTCCAGAGGGGAAGGACTCGTCTCTCTCTGAGTGCGGGGGCTCTTGAGATTGTCTCACACTGGGCTTTGGAAAAGGGAGGCTCTGCTGGCTGTGAGTCACTTTGGAAACCTCTGTCGGAGCTCTTTGTTGCAGCCTCTCTAATTTTTCATGCAACTCGTTATTAAAAAGTCTCACGGTGTCTGAAATGCGAGCTGGAATATGCCACATTATTTCGACTGCGGAGTCATCATTTAGCATAAAGAATCAGCGAACAAGAAGATTCAGGATGTGGTCTCTGGGGGGAGAGGCTGGCTCCAGCGAGAAACTGCATGAAAGGCAAAGAGAAAAGTACTTTATTAGCAACTGCTGCTATGCCTGCTACTCGTGGGACGCCTGCAGCTTGGGAAATAGCGTTGCTTTTTGGATCAGGAGTTTGGCTGCTGTTAAAGGACAGGGAAAGCCGATGTAGGAGCAGGAAGTTTGCTGCTCTGCGCTGCTGTTGTCCCCTCGCAGGGGCTGGAGAACGGCACCGTTGGCAGCAGGTGGCACTCCAAGCCAGACGAGCAGGAGGTTTGAGTGAGCAGCCTGAGCTGGGTGTTGGGGGAAGCTCTGAGCGTGGCATTCTGTGTTTCCCCGGCTGGAATGGGCCGGGTGGGTCTTGCAGTCCATGTGTCTCTGTCCTTACTCTGCTCAAGCCCCCGAGCATCTCCCTGGTGTTTTCAGTCCCAGTGTGTGGCTCACACCAGGCAATGCTGGAAGGCTCTTGCAGGGAGTCTGTGGGTCCTGCAGCCCTAAACAAGTCCCCTCTGTGGGGTACATTTCAGCCAGAGTGGCCCTGGCTATCCTTGGATTTTCCCTGACCTCCTTCCTTTACCTCCTCCCCATCCTTTCATCCATGTGGTCATTGTCCCCTCCCTGCACCCAGCCAGTAGCTCTTCTTTCTTTCCTTACATCCCTGCACAGACTCTCTCTGTCCTTGGCTGTTTGAGTTCCTTCCCAGCAGCTGAGATTGCTTCTGCATCTGAATTACTCTGAGTTTCCAAGAGCTTCAGTGCAAAGACTGGAATTCTGCACAATGCCAAGCACTCTTTGCTCTCTCTGCTCAATAAGTAATGTGGGACAGTGGTCAAAATCTCTCCTGTGCATGAAATTCCTGATTTGGACAGAAATTGGGTGGGGATGCATTGATTTTGTTCAGTGTCTTAATTCCCTGTTTCTGCTGAACTCCAGCCAGGTCTGCCTCTTCCAAAGTTTGGTGCCAGGTTGTCCTTGCTGTGCAGCACCTCTGAATAAATACGTGGTGGGGAAACCCTGGCTCCATGCAGTGCTTGGATCATGGAGAGGCACATCCCAAGGCCTTGATCATAGCAAGGTGACCTGGTGAGCACCAGGCATGTTTCTCTGGGACAAAACCTGTAGCATTTGGGGATGAAGCACAGACTCTGGAGGCTGTGCAGGAGTGTGGCCTCCAGAGAAAAATATGATGCTTGTCAGGTCTGTGGATGGACTTTAGGTAAGGGTAATTTTGAGGACCAGAGCCTAAGTGGGGCAATTTGCAGACTCCAGCTGGGCTGTGCTCATGCTCCCTCCTGTTTTCTGCAGGGGAGAAAAGCTCTTCCAGAAGGCCTCAGGACTAGCAATTCCCACCTTCCTCCCTGCAGGCATGTGCAGGAGGGTACCAGCAATGTCTCCACAGGGCCAGCAGCTGCATTTCCTCACCAGACCCTGTGTTTGCACCCCCTCTTCTGCTTCCACCCCCTTCATGCCAGTTAAAATCCTGCCTGTCCCTGGACAGGTTATACTGTCTGTGGCATAGCCTGAATGTGTTCTGCATTATTCTCTAATTTTTCTCCTATTTTTTCCCCCTCTCCTGCTCATGCTGTCTCTGCTTTCCCACCCACTGTGTCTGTTATGAGAGGAGCTCCTGGGAGCTGTGGTCCCACAGGAGGCAGGGTGCAGGTGAGGTCTCAAAAGGAAGCAGCAGAGCTGTTTTGGGAATGAAATCACTTAAAACTCCCCAAGGATGTTCAGTGCAGCCAAGAGACCTGAGCCACTGTGGGGCTGTAGAGGGGCACCCAGCAAGGAGCAGGCACATCTCTGGAGCTGTGCCATAAAACGTTAATGAGGCCAGAGCAGCAGGAACTTCAATAAATCCCATCTGTGTTTGGAAAGCCTCAGAATGATGGGAGAAACTTCTCATCCCTTGGTAACTAAGGAAGGCATTAAATAAAAACTCCTCAGGGACAAACATTTTCAAGCCAAGAGAAGCAGATAACCTGCATGCTGGAGGCTCCAAAGAGCTGGCTGAGCCTTGGCACACGAGGACTTTCTAGAAAGCTGGAAGGTTTCTGTCACTCCCAGTAGCAGCCAGGCATAGCCATGAGGCCGTAGTCTGACGTCCATCACCACGCAAGTGGGGAGTGCATCCATCAGCAATCTTTTCTTGATTTGAGCCTCTTAAAAATTTAGGTCTGGCGTCATGGACTGATTTAGAAATGGCTCATCTTCAGCTGGCGCCCTCACTCCTCCCATCACCTCTGGTCAGCCCCGAGAGACACCCGTGTGTCTCGCAGGAATCTGCAGGGTGAAACCTCAAATGTCACAGCTAGGAACAGGCTTGGCGTAATTTAGCGTGATTTTAAATAAAATAGACCCCATCACACAGTGATTTTATTTTTCAAGGTTGCAGCTTTTCCTGTTCAGGGTAACATGATCTCTGTTCTAGACTTCTGTCAAGCGTTTAAGCTGCATGAGGTTTTGATTAAAGAAGTAGTTGCACAGGGACCTGGGCTGACAATGCCTGGCTCCTGATGGATGTGTATCTCTTGGTTCATTTATTTTTAATTTCCCATCCTTTTCTCCTCCCGTGGAGACTGGAGGAATCTGCCTAGTGGGTAAGAAGTGCTTGCACTGGATGGGAGAGGGGGATTGCAGCCACTGGTAGTGTGATTTCACCTACCTCTGACCACTTCTTGCTAAACTTGGAGGAAGGTGCCTGGCCCCAGACATCCCCATGCTGCTGGGAAGTGGATGGAAGCTTAGAGAAGGAAAGGATTGAGCTGTGGCTTGATGGTGGTGTGTCAGCACCTTGCTAGGGAAAGGAAATTGCAGGGTGTAAAATAACTGTGTGAGGGCTGGGATGGCAGCAGAGCCTTGCAGGGAGTGCACCTCAGTCACCTGAAGTTTACAGGATTAGGAGATGAATCAATTGGCGTGATACAATATTTTTTTTCTGGCCTTCAAATTCTGTCAACCTGCAAGACTTTTGTGGGCTCCCCTACAAACCTTTGCCTTCCTGCAGCTGCAGGGGAGAGCAGAAAACAGCCCTCAACCAGATTCTGGAAAGTGCTTTTAGACCCCATCATAGCAGCCATGGCACAGCGGCAATGATTATCTGCTTATAACAGATGCTAGATCAATAGCAGGGCTTCAAGCCACGCTGCAAGGCAATTGACTGCAGAAAGTGTTTCTTTATTGGGGTAAAGCTGGGCTTGCAACGAGGCTCAGATCCGCTGTTACATCTCCGGTCTTAAAATGTCACCACCAGCTCTGATGCCTTTCATCCTTTGTGCAGGGAGAGAACGCACATTATTCATAATTGGACTCTCTACCAGGCAGCAATAGCCATTTTCATTTCCTACAATAGCTGAGAAAGAGTGAGGATTTGCCTTTTTTTTTTTTTCCCATCTCCCAAATAGCATTTAGTGGCAATTTTATTCCAAGTGACTTGGTAACGCTTTCAGTCCGGCAGCGAGGGCTTCGCTGCTGTAATGCATGGAAGCGGATGGCATCGATTCTCCAGCTCTCGTAACAGAGCCAGTCCTGCCTGGGTGTGTAACACCAGGCCTGTTTGTCTCCTAAATTTAGCTTTTCCAGCGTGTCAGCACCGCTGTGAGCCTCGTAACAAGCACCAAAACTGGGTCGCACCCTCCGGCGTGCCGGCTGGACTGGCACAATTAGAGCGCTGTCACCTTGAGGGAGAGCCACATCCTTTGTCCCAGCACTGCTTCCCACAGCCTCACAGCTGGAGGTGGTGGTGTTTTCATCTGAATTCTCTTGAAGGAGCCATGCAATGTATTTTTATGATGTCCCTG